AACTGATAGAAGCCATCTTCAGTAATCCTGGTAGCCAATAGTTGGATGACCCTTCCAATGCACCAATACCCCCAAAAGTTTTAGACACTAAGGTGACGTCAAGGAGTATGTAGAACACGAAGAGGAGTATACATCCCAACATTCATTGTGAAGTAGTTCAGAGTTCCTAAAAGATGAAGTCACAGTCGGGTCAACTAAAATAATCGTCCTTCAAGTGCTCAAATCCCACCACAATAGTGCTCATAAAATGAATTACTGTAGTGATACAACTAAAAGCATCAGCAACTTAATTTTTTACTCTGGCCTGTGGTGAACAAAAGCATACTCTTAAAAAATTCAACCTACTTAATATATTGTTTACTTAAATTAGGACGGAAATTAATGTAATAAAGAGCATGATGATCAGAATAGAGAATGCTCTTCGGTAATAAATAATATTGTTAGTAACGGAGAAATTGGATAATAGCATAGAACTCTTTACATAAGTAGAATACATCTACCTAGCCTCATTTAATTTCTCACTAGAGAAAGTGATGGGTAGACCATATTGACTTAAGCCACCATCTATACCAACACCCGAAGCATCACAGGTATTCTAAATAACGTAGAAGGATCAGGGTTGTATGAAAAGTGAGCTTCAATCAACTTTTGCTCAATGGCGAAGACGGCTTTCGGGGCCAAGTGTTCCAATGAAAATTCCCTTTTTTCATACTCTCGGTGATGGGGGCTGTAAGAGAACTATACCCTTGAACGAATCTCCTATAAAAGGAAGTTGACCTGAAAAAGCTATGGGCTTCAGTCAACATTGTAGATTTAGGCCAATCATGAATAACAAAGATTTTAGCTGGATCAGCAAAAATATCCTGGCCAAAAATGATGAACCCTAAGAAGAGAATTTATGACCGTAGGAATGAACACCTTTTAACGTTAGCATACAACTTCGTAGAACAAAGAGTGAAAGCCTCGCCAAAGGTAATCTAAATGCAATTTGATTACATCTATCTAGTAAAGCATCAATTTGCCTATTTAGTTCAAATCACTTAGTGGGATTTATCTTATAGTGGGGACGATTTGATAACATGTTGAATATTTCACATGGGAATAGCTCATCGGGTAGGTTGGCGAGGGTGATATCACTGAACTCTTAGCAAATGAGTGACCTCAAGTGAAAGTCAATGTGTGACTCAGTAGAGGAATGTGAACAAGCTTAAATAACCAAAGCAAATATTAGTCCATTTCCATGACCCTCACACTCAAAGTCCTTAAAGGACAAAAACTGAATCCGGGTATCTGCACCATCCAATGGTTTTCACGATGGGCATTGGTTTCCACGATTTATGCCAAGTATTTCTCCCAATTTACCCAAAAATATCTATATATAATTTTAACATATCATGCAGACTTCATCAGAGATATGTCCAACTAAAGAAGAGAAACCATATGTATATGTATCATGCTTCTGACTTCTTAAAACGGGAAGACATATATATATACCAAGTAGACATCGAACAAGCATTGAATACTATAAGCTAATAAAATGGATGCAGAAAGAAACTGATATGAATTTAGTAACACAAGTTGTAAGTAAAATACCATCTTCTAACAAAAGCAGCTAGTAAAGAAACATGCAACACTCTAGTGAGCTCAAGACTTAAAAATGTGCTGGCCAAAGAGAAGAAAATAGTTATAGGAGTCAATAACTATCCAAACGGTGCATTGATTAATGGTGGTCATCGACGGTGATGGACTGATTTACGATGGTTGTCGACGACATGGGTTTTTAATGATTCGAATAAGAAAGGGGAGTGAGTTTAGGGTTAGTGAGTGTTTGTATGATAGATTGAGTTGTATTTTTTTTGTTTTTGTTTTTGGTTTCACTTTTTTTTTCCTTCTTCTTCTTTTTTTTTTTTCTAGTTAAATTTGATAATTGAGTTATTTGAATGTGACATTTTTTCAGTTTTTTGTACAACTTTTCATATAGTCAAATCTCATTTAATGAAGAATATGTAGGGTATTTAAATTGTCTAGAGGGATAAAAACGTCCAAAAATAACAATCTTGCTAAGACTTTTAAAATGTGACATTTTTGAAAATTCAAAACCAAAAATTGACTGTACATGTATGATCATTTTTTGGAATTTTATCTTCCGTTTAAAGCATATATTCTGTACAGGCCGTGGGTAGTCGAATATTTAAAACAATGCTTGAGTGTTCGATTCACCACTCTCAGGTTGGATCCTTTACCACCTATCCACACTAAATTAGGACTGCAGCTTCTCAAATGACATCTTTGATAATAATTGGGACCTAAAACCGTATTTACGAATGAAAGTATGAAATTTCTTCCTGCACCATTGCTACGAAACACTTGCATACATGCTCTGATGCCAGTTTAACTAATGCTTCTTTTGTGGTGACCATCCTGTTTATGGTTTTCTTATCTGTCAAATTAAGATTCTTCTTCTTCTTTTTTCTTTTTTTCTTTTCTTTTCTTTTTTTTTTTTTTTTTTTTAACCAGAGATGCCATCCTGAAGTAATCAGTTTACAATGTGCGGATTCAAGTGTGTGAGAGTGTGTATACATATGGTCCAGACTCCAGAGTCCTTTTACGGTGGGTTATGATCTGCTCGTTTACAAATGTAACATCACACCAAGAAAATATTCTCTTTGTTCAAGTGTTGTGTGTACCTTAAATATATAAGCATAATTGGAATCAAAACGGTTGGTTTAGTTCTCCATTTTCCATTTTTGGTTTCAAAACGATTTTTAGTTTTCCTCGAAAACGGCACGTTTTGGGCGTTTTCCGTGTTTTGGAAATTATAACTGAAAACACTCAAAATGATAAAAAGTCGTTCTGCATTTTTAATTATAAATGTTAACTCATTTTTGAAAATGTATTTTCAAAAACGACGGACCAAATGTGTTTTCCGTGTTTTCGAATACGGAAAATGGAAAATGGCCCGAAAACCCCAAACCAACCGTAGCCTAAGCATTTTATTTCTTAAGAGTACAGGTATTGAAGAGATTGTTTGAAAATTGTTAACAAAAAAAATTGATTTTTTTATCAATCTTTGACCAATTGTTTGGATGGATCTTGTTGGTTGAATTTGGCACAAAATGGGTTGAACACATTCTACTCCTCGAATAGATGTGTTTGGTATGTTTGGAACTCAAAAACTATTTTTCTGATGAATGAGAAATCGGTCAATAGAGTCGGGTTGAGAAACATGATTTTTGGAAAAATTAAAATTCAAAAACCTAAATGACCGCTCGAGCGGCCTAGTTACTGAAAAAAACGCTCAAGTGATGAGGCTAGCAATCAGCAGGCGATCAATGAACCTGTGCAACTTTTTGTCAGCAAGTTGATTTTGTGTTGTGCCTATGATCATTCAAGCTCTATAAATTGGGCACTCTATGATTGTTTCATTCACTCTAATTACATGAAATCATTGTTTACATTAACATCGAATCTATAGCAAAATTTTTGCATCAAATTTGTCTTTCATTTCATACAAAAATTCGCCGTCTCTTATGTTTTTGAAGTGCTGCCATTACAAGAACTTATCATTGTTTCCTGGGAGACGATTGCTAATCCACAAGTGTTACAATTTCATCTTAAGGACAAAGAGTTCAACTCTTCCCTCGATCTTCTTGCATTCCAATTTCTAAATTTGTGTTTGTTTGGGTTTGTATCCATTTTTCGATCAGATAGGTTATTAAGTGCTATTATTTATTTCCAAAAAAAAGAAATCACTTCCTCACAATTTTTATAACAATCTTAAAAATAATTTTTTGAAATGATTTCTTTATTTAATTTCTATTTTACTCGATTAAACTGAAATTCATTTTCAGTTTAACTTTTCTACTCTCTCTTGATGTTGTTGAAATTAGAACCAGTTCCATCTTCTGTTTGTTTGGAAATAAATACCATTAATGATACTACCAATGTTACTTAGGTTGTCATTTTCGTAATTGTCGTTCTACTGATTATAATTTTCTCTAATCAACCTCTGTGTCACATGGAGAGAAACTGAATAAACTTTAGTGGGTTTGATCTTTAAAAAATGGCAATAGAAGATGTTCTATCCAACAAAACTCAGTTTGGCAAAATTTTTGAATGAAGATACTCTCACTGTACAAGAAGGGAAAAACAATAGAACATTATTGATTGTATTAGATGCTTGGAAACATTCAGACTTTTTATGTAAGAATTACATATTGAATAGTTTGGCTAACATATTATACAATGCGTATAGTTCCATGAAATCTCCTAAAAAGTTATGAGCATCCCTGGAGAAGAAATATAAAACTGAAGAGGTCAGAAAAAAGTTCATCGTCGAAAAATTATTGGACTACAAAATTGTAAATTTCAAAATGGTGATCAGTCAAGTACAAGAACTGTGGCTACTTCTCCATGACATTCACATTGAGAACATCTCTCTAAGTGAAACTTTTCATGTGGCTATAATTATCAAGAAACTTCCACCTATATAGAAGAACTTCAAGAACTATCTCAAACAAAAGTGCAAAGAGATGAACATTGAAGAACTCATAGTTCAGTTGAGGATTGACGTAGATAATAGCAAGTCGGACAAATAAATTGGAAGGCAAATATCACAAGCAAAGGCAAACGTGGTGGGGATCAATGCAAAGAGCAAAAAAGAGTACGCATTTTTAGGAATCCTTTTAAGTAAAGAAACAATAAAAATGCAAAGAATTTCAAGGACAATTGATATAATTGTGGAAAAGCCGGACATAGCTCAAATGAATGTTACAAACAAAGAAAGCAAGCTGAAGCAAATATCAGTGAATTAGATACATATCTAATGGAATATCAAATATCAATTTGTCAGCTTTTGTTTCAGAACGCAATAATATCGGATATCCCATGAAATGGTGGATGGACATGGGTGCTACTTAGCACATTTGTGCTGAAAAGACTATGTTCTTATCTTATACTCCAATAAACGGTGAGAACTTGTTCATTGGGAACTCTTCAAGTTTGAAGGTGTAAGGGAGAGTCAAGGTGGTATTGAAGACGATATCAGGCAACGAACTCAACCTTAACAGTGTGCTTTAGAATTAATTCATTTGGTTGAAAAAAAACATAACACTTCTAGAATTAATTCACAGAGATATATGTAACTTAAAATTTGTGCAAGCTAAAGGTAGTAAAATGTATTTCAT